GCTCAGTGAGCATCTTACTGTCAGACCGAGTAGAGGATACAGTCACCTGGATATCACCTGGATCCCAGACATTGCGCCCTCAGGCCTGTATGCTTTAAGACGCCATCAATGCCGCCTTATGGTTGTGCCAGCCATGGTAGTTGAGCAAAATAATATATAACTGGACCCCTTTCTCTCCCCCCCCCCCACAACACTTTGCCAGTCAGTGACTATAATTGCATTGTAGCACTGCCCAGTACATCTGGTATTATTCTGTAGTTTCAGTTTCCTTTCTCTTTCAGCAGAGCTCAGGCTGTGTTACTCAGAGCAGGAAGTTTGTCAAGCTACGAGGGATCAGCTGCTGTGCTGGTTGCTTGAGGCTCTTTTGCTCCCAGAACCTGAAAGAGACAGACCCCGACCACCAGGACTTCTGATCTACACTGACTGCTGAGTGACCGACAGAGGTTAGTAAAAGTGAGGTAATAAGCAGGAAGAAACAATAATCATTGTATTTGTTTACTATGTGACATTAGTTAAACTCTTATTATTATCTGGAAAATGGCAGAATTACAGTTAGAATAAGAAAGGTACTTAGTTCTTCTCTCACAGTATTGCTTGTATAGGCTAGAAAATGTATCTGTGACATAGAGAAGTCCACAGGTTTCATTTAATGTGCATTAACTCCTAATCGTATAACACTTGCAGCACAGCAATACATAGCACCAATACCACTTACATAAAAGTATCCCAGAGCTCAAATAACACATGCAGCACTGTAACCAAGAGCTCCCATGCCCTTACAACACAGTAAAACATCAGAACGCCAATTTAACTTCCAACAGTATCCCAAAGTATCCAATACTACTTTCTACTCAGTAAAACACTTCACAACACAAAGCTTCAATTCCACTTGCAGCATAGTAACACAGATCTCCAATCTTCCTAAAAAGAGCTCAAGTACAATACAGGACAGCAACCCAGAGCACCAATGCTCCTTGATTAGCTTAGTTTGCTGTGCTATTTAGACAATACTATTCCATGTGTACACCTGTCTATACAAGGTCATTAAACGAATATCTGAGCAAACACCAAGCCATGAGGAGAAAAAAAAAAAAAACTATCTGTAAAGCTCAGAAACAGGATTGTGTCAAGGCACATGGATCTTGAAGGCTCAAAATTTGTTTGCCTGCATTGAAGATTCCCAAGAGTGACCTTCATAATATTTAAATATAAGATGTTTGAAATAACCAGGACTCTTCCTAGAGCTGGCTGTCTGGTCAAATTGAGCAATCAGAGGAGAAGGGTGTTGGTATGAGAGGTGACCAAGAACCAGATGGTCAGTCACTCTGAGTGAACTCCAGATATCATGTGTGGAGATGGGAGAAACGTGTGGAAGCACAACCATTACTGTAACACTTTACTGTAACTCACCATTACTGTAACTCACTGCAAGACACAGGAAACTCTGCTTGGAATTTGCAAAAAAAGCACCTATAGAACTCCCAGACTCTAAGAAACAAGATTATCTGGTCAGGTGACATGAGGATTGAGCTGTTTGGCCTCAATTAAAAGTGTCATGTTTGGACAAAACCAAGTACTCCTCATCACCTGTGCAATACCATCCCAACAGTGATGTATGGTTGTTTTAGAATCATGCTTTGGGGGAGTGGGGGTGGGGGGTGCAGATACAGTAACTGGAATAAAGGTCAGGGTTGAGGAAAAGCTGAACAACAAAACCAACAAATTACAGATCTATTCTTATTGATAACCTGGTGCAGAGCTATCAGGACCTCAGACTGAGCTGAAGATTAAACTTGCAACAGGACAATGACCCTAAGCACACAGCCAAGACAACTCAGGCAATAAGGGTGGCTTAAGGTCAATTCTGTGAATGTCCTTAAGTGTCCTTGAACCCAATCGAATATGCATGCAGAGACCTGGTGTTGCAGTGTAAGCATGCAGAAGCCAAACACAGAAATATTGGACACAGGTCTTCAGGAAGTAACAGGCCTTTATTCACATTACCGATCGGGTCTCAGATGAACTCCTGTTCCAAAGGATCTGAGAGACATATACTTGTGGCTTGGGACTTTTGTTAACTGCATATCTCCTCCCATACAGTATAACCCCTCCTATATTCCTCAGACCAATCAATGAGCAGAATATAGACTTGTACATCTAGTCAAACCACATGGCTCATCCAAGACAAAGGAAATAAGTGCAATTTCAGTTCCTGCATTCCTGCACATGCTCAGTACACTGATGACAGTATCCTAGCTACATGTAGCTAACCAACTGACACAACATACACATATGCCACATGGAGATTTTGGCCTACTAAATTTTAACCATGCTGGAATCCCATCACATTCCCCCCTTTTGATGCCTCTGATATAACATTATTCCAGATGCATCACCAATCACAGTTTTACCTACATCTCTCAAGTAGCCATTGAACCAGAGTAGACCTTGTAAGCATCTTAAAAACTCCTTCAACATTCTTCATCCTGAATATATTCTCTTCGGGCTAGGGGATCATATCTTCCAGACAGCCATTACATGGGCAGCTGTCTTTCTCTCTATAGTACTCTCTATAATGCTACGTAGGGACCTTACCACTAGTGGAATTAGACAGGGCAGGAGGAGGCACAAAAAAAAATATAATAAATTCTACTCCTCCTACTAATGTCTTAATTCCTCCAAGCTGCTCATACCAACTTCCAAACCAACTACTTAGGTTATACCCATTCCAGACCTGAGTAGGTACATGCTCAAATTTAACCATGTGGCTTGTAAGTTCAGCCACTGCCTGCCCTTCATCATCTATGTGCAGACAACAGTTACTTAGATTAAACTTTCCGCATACACCTCCTTCTACTGCTAGAAGGTAATCAAGGGCTAGCCTATTCTGGTATATGGCTGATCACATCTTGGTATTTTGCTTAGCTAGAAGATTAAGCACTTGAGCTGTGTCATTAGTAATAATCTCAACTACCGCCCGTAGTCTAATAATGCGGTTGAGCATATATAATCGGAGTTCTATATCCATAAGTGCCATCTTCTGCCCAAGTAGTAGGTCCATAATAATTAATAATACGTTGAGGGGGCCACTCATTATCTTCCCAGCTACCTATATTCAAGGATGCTCTCTCCCTTTTATGATTTACATCGTAAACCTTAACTCCCAAGGTCTCTCCTGTTTCGATTGGCAACAAGAAGAAGGATGGCTTTGGCATACCTAATACACATGCCCCTTCCCAATCTTGTGGTAACTCCGAATAAGTTTTCTTACCACAGATCCAGTATAAATTTGCTGGGGCTTTCCAACTAGATGTAGCCGATAAGTCAAACCATACCTCCCTTAAATGAGTGTAATTGGCAAACGGATTAGTAGGTTCCGAGACATTTGAAGCTGACCACCAAGTAGTATTTTAGTATTAACATTATAGGCTTTTTGTCCCAAGCACGTTAGCTCACCTACAGACGTGTTATACATTGTCCCTTTCCTGGCTATACAAACATGACCTATAATGGAGGTTTTTAACCACCATTCCAATTTACTTCTAGTACTTACTTGATGATCAGACTGGAAAGGTATCTGTTGTTCATATGTCTCAGAGCCAGGGTACCATATTTCCTTTGCCTCCCATGGCCACTGGTCTCCCATATTAGTACCTCCACACACATAGCAATTAGTTACATTAAGACTACCTGCAATACCCTCAGCCAAATCAATAAATAGGTTGTTAACATTATGGGGAATTTTATCCTCAATACTCATCTCCTCATAGAAGGAATGAGAAACCTGATGAGTTTGAGTTGCCACTGTCTCAGTTTCAAGACCTACATATATTATTGTTCCTGAATCTACTCCTGTGCCATATATTTGGAACCCAAACAGACCTCCAAACCTGTCAATAAAGTACTGCAGATTGGAAATGGTCATGTGAACGGGGTTACACACATAGTTTTACAGTATGGTGTGGTAGGCAACCTTTGGATAATCATATCTTGATCCACTGTTTTTCCCAGTTTGCCCAACCTACACATGACAAATAGGGGCAGAAGTTAGTCTCTATTTGGGCAATCAGGATCAGTAGATCTTTTACTGGGACATAAGTATTTATCATTAAACCCATAAGTTCGTTCCCATTTAAGATTACAACATACATTCCAAAGTCTTCCACTACCCGAAATCGCCTTACATGCATCAAATAGTAGAATACCCGCGGAATGTATGGTGCTTATCACAGTCCTATTTAGTAATGTCCCCTGGGAGTTACTATTCCGAATTACCAACCAAATTGTACGGGGTTGGAAATGGGGATTAAAACATTTAGACTCTCCTGATATTGGCTTGCACACACTATAATCAATATCCAAATATCTACATTTAGATACAGATCCCTTACATTCATACTGTGAGTGCCAGATGAGAGTATGGGATATTTGGTTACCTGTTTTAGTAGTCTTAATGCAACTATCGCAATTCGGTATGTCTGTACTCCTACCTTCCTGAAAAATCATAAAAATACTAAGACACAATAAAACACATTATTCCTGAAATCCTCATTTTTCTTCGACCGTGCTATGGCCTCTCAGCTTCCCGATTGTGAGGGCTGCAAGGATGTTGTTCTTCTGATCCTCACTTTCCTTCACAGAGATCCCTTCAAGATACTCTGGCTATGACACGTAGGCAGGTGGTCAGGCTTTATTATGGCCGTCAAAACACCTACTTGATGATCTTTGTAAACTTAACTAGAATGTCTCGATATCCCCTCGTCACTCCGACTGAGTTGCACGCTTCAACCGGGTCCTGCAAGGATTCTCAGGATCTGGAGAAGCTTGCCAAGAGTCTGCTGCTGGTTTAACCTTAGAATGATGAATCCAAGGAGTCACTTCCGCCACCTTTACAGCTGTTGGGGTAGATAAAAGAACAACATACAAAGGCTAACAGGATACACCCCGAGCTTTAACTCAATATGTATAGGTGGGATATTACGAGCAAGTCCTGGAGGATTATTTTCTTCCCATACTCCTGGAATGTCAAATAAGGATTCATCACTCTTAGGGTTAACACTTGTCACTATGGAATAGAAGCGTCATTCTTCTTCCCTTGGCACCAATATCGCCATTATGCCTGGTAATCCCTTAAACTTCAGAGATGTTAATCCATTAGGTAAAAGGTTATCTGAGCTTAAAGCTTCGATAATAGATCTCGTCCTAAAAGTTGAATCGGACACTCTGGCATATATAGGAACTAATACTTCACCACATGGCCTCCCAGAATACAAGTGCGACTCTTAAGAACCGGTCTAGCTGCACTTCTCCCAGTAGCTCCTATCACAGTTATAGTCTTCCCCGAAGGCGGAGCCACCATCTTAGTCACCACAGAATGTTCGGCACCTGTGTCGATCATGAAAGAACTTCTCTTTCCCCCTATTGCTACATCGACCATAGGCTCCGCTTGACCAAGTGGGATGGAGCCCAGTCGGTATCAATAGTCTTCCATGATAGTGTCAGCCAGACCCACAAAATCTCTATCCTCTCTTTCTCTAGGTCTCTGCGTGGGTGGATAGTATCTGTCTCCTTGAACACTTCCTCTACTATTCCCTCTAAAACTTCCTCTTACCCTTCTCTCTCCTGTCTATCACCTTCATACTGCTCTCTCTGTGGACACTCACTCTTCCAATGTCCCTCCTTTCTACAATACGCACATTAATTCCTACTTAAAGTCCCTTGCTCAGCCTATTCTCGTCTCCTCTATTCACTTCCCTGTCTTTCTACATTTAAGATAGCTACCGCTAGCATATCTGCCTTTTTCCTCATTTTACGTTCTTCCTCCATCTCCCTATTCATATATACTGTATTTGCAATCTCCATTAGCTGTATTATGGACATCCCTGCAAATCCCTCTAATTTCTGTAATTTCCTTTTAATATCACCTTGGGCCTGGCTGACAAATGCTGAGTCTATAATTCGGAAGTTTTCAGGGGCCTCTGGATTAAAGGGAGTATACAACCTATTTGACTCAAGCAGTGTCTAATATGGGACTTCGGCAAGGCTGCCCAATAATAGGTTACAGTCTAGGATTAGTAAAATAGGTGAAAGGGGGTGAGCTAATTTTATTAGTCAGCATTTGGTGGATGAAAAAATGTTTTGTTTTTTTTAAAGTGTTAAACCAAAAACCTACCAGTAGGTGTCACCAGAGGGTAATTGTATCAAAATAATCTTTATGGGTCTAATAAGAAAACTCAACTTTTAATATATTTATACATAAAATAAAACCTTATAGCAATAAATATATTAAAATAGGGTAAGCAATCCTACATCTATCTGTTATAAACAATGTATTATCAATGTAACTCCCGAATATGGCCAGTAGGTGGCTTAGAGTGCCTCCCTAAAGTCAAATGAAACAAATAGACTTTAATTAATTATGTCCTATTTTATTATTACTTATTTTAATCAATGTCCACCCTGATATCTAGGCTTGATTAAATCTTTAGTTCTAAAGTAAATTAAACATCTCAGTTTGTAGTTTAGTAAAAAGGGGACATTTTGGACAAAGCTGGGAGGGGCCCATCCAGTAACTAAAATAAAGACCATATACCATCTGATACCATTGATCATTGATTAGGGGGAGGGGTAGTACAGAAATACAAGAGTTTGAAACACAGGAACAGATAGGTATGTGGGTAGGCGGGGACAGTAGAGCAGGGGGAGTGCAAATACTGATTATACCAGCCAGAAATGGGCGTGGCTACTCTGGCTCTGGAGGATGTTTGGGGGGTTGGTAATCAGATGCCAGGGGGGAGGGGATGTCCAAAGCAGTTGTAATTAAGGCCTTAGTTCTGACCACCATATGGCTACATTGTTTCCCATATGACACAGTTTAACTCACCAAGGCAGTTTTTCAACAATCAGTTTCCAACAGTCAATATATAGAAACTGATCATAGAATTCCGGCCTACTAGTTACAGCCACATGTACACCCTGCACTAAATTTAAGTGAAGACTGCTACATGGAGGCCATGCCGCCACCAGGACAGGCTACTCCCTACTTTTTTTTTTTTTTTTTTTAAACATACAAGACAAAGGACCAACAGCCTTGTGAATCAGAAGATCATTGCAACAGAACGTCTGATTCAAAAAGCTGTACAAATATACACAGTTTCAAGTCACACCAAGCTCCTTATCACCAGCACCACATCGCACAGTCACTAGGCCCAAACACACACATGCACGCACACACAGGATCCTCACATGCTCAACAATATCACGACGTCGCACACACGAAATTAAATCAAAAACCCACCAAAGACTATACACTTATCAATGTAACTATTATTCAAACCATACAACTATCCACGCTATTAATCCATATAAACTAACCGATCACATAACATTTCAACAGATTTCATCTCTACAATTATCTGTACTATAAATCAACTCTTGACTAACCAACTATATCACATTCTAGTAACCTCATCTTTACAGTCAGTGGTTATGGTACAGTTAGTAAGTGGTTACAATACAGTTTTAAAGTCACAGATCAGTTAGTAACAGTTATGGTATTATACATATAACATAAAACAGCAATTGTTAGTAATTTTTACACAATGTCAGTGGTTATGGTACATGTCAGTAGTTATGGTACCGTGCTCTATTTTACAGTTATACACACAATTTACACTCCCACTAGACAGCAGAGCTCTAACTTTCTAGTAGGACATACAAGTTAACCAATTCACCAACTACAATATATTTAACAACATTTACAATAATCCCAACTATTCTAACTGGCCAGCACCTCGAGAGCTTTCGATCTATTTATACACCAGAGATTCGATAAGTTCTTCGCTGCCCAGGCACCACGTATAGCGAACTAGAGGGCAGAATTTACACAGTACTCAGCTAGTCTATTAAACTATCAATAAGCTAGTGGCTGGATTTACAACAGAGCACACTTAGTTAAGATAGGGTGAAATCTAGCAAACTATAATATACAACAGAGTATGCTAGTCTCCCGGTTCCCCCGACCTAGCGAACAAAATTTACACCCTAGTCCTTCGTCGGATAGGACTTTACCGATTATCGACGTAAAGATAAGCCCACCACAACTCAGTCTGACCCAAACCACCTATATTAGACGGGCTGACTACAGAGCGTCTAATTTCCAGATAAGTGTTGCGCTTTTCACTTCTTCCATCCATAAGGACAGGGCAGATTCCAATAACCGGTTCCAAATATAAAACCCCTTGTGGGTCTACCGCTCTAACGGTATCAATCTTACCTGTTAATTTCTGGACCTGGGTTCACTCATAGGCGGAACAATCCGGGACTCACTGCGCAGAAGCCGATGATCTCCTGGACAAAAGGCCAGTGGCGCCGAGACGAAAGGAGGTCCACGCAGTAGAAGTCCAGGATTGTAGCGTAGAAGGTTTGGTAAAAGTTTACCGTCTCAAATCTCTGCGCTAGCTTCCATGCAATGAGGTTCCCTCTGCCAATGTACCAGAAATGTTGCAGTGTAAGCATGCAGAAGCCAAACACAGAAATATTGGACACAGGTCTTCAGGAAGTAACAGGCCTTTATTCACATTACCGATCGGGTCTCAGATGAACTCCTGTTCCAAAGGATCTGAGAGATATATACTTGTGGCTTGGGACTTTTGTTAACTGCATATCTCCTCCCATACAGTATAACCCCTCCTATATTCCTCAGACCAATCAATGAGCAGAATATAGACTTGTACATCTAGTCAAACCACATGGCCCATCCAAGACAAAGGAAATAAGTGCAATTTCAGTTCCTGCATTCCTGCACATGCTCAGTACACTGATGACAGTATCCTAGCTACATGTAGCTAACCAACTGACACAACATACACATATGCCACATGGAGATTTTGGCCTACTAAATTTTGACCATGCTGGAATCCCATCACACTGGGAATTTATAGTTTCTGCCCACCAACAGTGGCTATCTAACCTGACAGAGCTTGAAAGGATGAATGGCAGAAACTACCCAAATCTAGATATATAAATAAAAGAAAGAGACAGCGCCAATCAACCTATAAGGCAGCAACCCAAAAAAGGGAGTCCCCCCAAAACCCTAAAAATACAAAGTAAAAGCAAAATATAAAAGGGCTGCGCCAAGCTAAAATAGATAGTATCCAGTCCAAGTAATGGTAATAAAAAGTCCAACCTAAAAGTGTCCTCTCTGTCGTCCTTGGTACAGGAACAAAGTCTTCAGGTATTATATATAAAAAATAAAAAGAGAGAACAACCGATAGTGCAATATGTATGGTTCAAGTGAAGTAAAATTGAATAAAAGTAGCGAACTCACAATTTCAAAGAGCTTCTGTCCAGCTCTAGGGTAAAGCGTACACAGCGGTATGATCTAGGGATCGACCGATTATCGGTTTTACCGATATAATCGGCCGATATTCGGTATTCTCGGCAATATCGGTATCGGCCAATTCAGACACCGATATTGCCGATAATACCTCCTAGGACAGCCAGGCTCATTACAAGCCCGGCGGTCCTGGGGGGAGCGGGCATCAAGCGCTTACTCACCTCCCAGCAGCTCCTCCAGCTCCCCAGTGTAACTCTCGCGAGACCCGCAGCCGTCAGAGTGTTGCCATGG